AAGTCCTAGAACTTGCACCAAACCTTGCACCAGACCTTTCTTTTATTTATTTATTTTGGTGGGTACCATTGTTATATTTCCCATCAATCTGATCAGTTTTTTCAATTTTAAGTCTTTTCATCATCCAAAAAAAATATATATATTGACATCAAACAAAAGAAGAGGTACAAGGCTATCAAATTATCATGAACGCAATCAGAAGATATCACTATAAGATTTCAAACGTCAACCCTCTTATCTAACAGTAATATGAAATGTACTTCTACAAAAGTTAAAAGCCACGAAGTTTTGAGTATAAGATCTCACAAGTGAATTTATTTTCCACTTATGGTAGAATCAGAATGAAAATGAATTGGAAGGTAATGAAAAAGAATCAGAATAAGATGAATACTAGCTGTCTGGAACTGGAATGGAATGCGAATGAGGTTTGTTACCATTGATATGTTCTCTCTCTCAGGGATATCAGAATCAAAACCAATTTGATTATAAAATGTCCTTTATTCAATATAAATTACATTATTGTCAAATACTTACTAACGAAATATATAAACGCCAATAACAATAATTCTACCATGAGCCCTCGCAAAATATATACAGACAATTTGCATACAAGATATTTAAAATGGCAAAAGAAAAACATTCGCTTCTAAGTAAATGTCGGACTATGGAGGAATGGGAATGATTCACATTCTTTCGTTCCCCTTTCGAGTAAACAAGCATGCCATTATGTCAGAAGTCATCTAAGTCGTCGCATTTTTCAGCAACTTATACCCAAATATGTATTTAATAATTAGAAGAAAACAACATCAACAAAGACTAATAAAATGCCCATAAGATTGAGGATATTTGCACAAAATTTGAATAACAGCATTATGGGTAAGATATGAGTTTTGTTTGCTTGTTGGAAATACATCAGGAAATCAGGAAATTGTATATCCCTTACAATCAACTAAGAGAATATGGGATCCACAGGCAAAGAGCTCCTTTCATGCTGTTATGTGAAAACTAATGTAAAGAAATTTCATTATTTTATTCAAGAATTAATCATAGAGACCCAACATCTGTGACAGGACAAGCACTAGGAAACTGACTCCAAGAAGCATTTCTGCATTTCCTGCTAACTAATTTTCCCTTATGTCTTGTATGCACACTTCCAAGCCTCCAAAGAATCTGGCAGAAGTCACTGATCCAACATGGTATGAGCCCCATAGTATATACACAAGAATGCCAAATGAAGCAGTTTGCTTACAATGACAAACCTCATAATCACAAGACCACACCCAACAAGACAAATAGAAATCACAGTTAGCAATTAGAAACTCTGATCTATCCAAGAAGCAAACCTGAAGGATACGACTGGCATCATGCTCAAAAGTATCATTTGAAACTGAAGAATCGTAGAGACGACTACATTGATCCAGCCTCTGACTCTCATCCCTATGCCCCAGTATCCGTTCCCTGCAAGCAAACAATACTTAAGAACCTCAAAACCCATATATATAAAAACTATGTCTCAGCTCAGCTCATAATTATTAGAGTCAAAAAGTAAACTTAAGACTTTTAATTGTTATGCCAGCGTGACATATTAAATTTCACCTATCCAAAAAATATTACACCAAAATCCTACGGAACGTAATGCGAACTACACCAATTAAAGCCCCCCACATATAGAGGAAAAGTAATTCACTTTATGAAGAGCAATGCAGCAAGTTTGCTTAATTTTGCTTAACACAACAAAAAAGACTCGAAATTTTGCTTTCTTCCCCTACACTTTCTTAGCAACCAATCAGGCCAAATACCAAAACATTCACAATGGCAAACAAGACAAAGGCTCAAGATTTACAGAAATAAAAGAAAACGTACTCAATCTGAAGAAGAATTTTCTGGGAATCGGGATGGAGATCAGCCCACTTGGTACTATAACTCGCCGGAGCCTTGTCATTCGTAAACAAAAACATCTGCTGCTGCTGCTGCTGCTGTTGCTGTTGTTGCTGCTGCTGTTGCTGAAATTGAAGCGGCTGTGGCTGAAATTGCTGCTGCGGCTGTTGCTGTTGTTGTTGTGAGAAAAAGGGACTGCTTTGCTGAAACAGCTGTGAGGGCTGCTGAGTTTGAAACAGCGACTGCTGCTGTTGCTGTTGCTGTGGCTGTGGCTGTGGCGTGGAGTAAAACGAGAATGCCATTGTGGGTTTTGTGGTCTGGTTTGCAATCGAGGTCGAAATTGAAGAAGACCCTGTTTAAAACCCTAGAGAGGGAAAAAAAAGGGCAAGTGAAAGACCCGCCCTTTGTTCCAGTGTGGACTAGGAAAATTGAATCATCTTATTTTTGCATCCTATTTTTCTTTTTTCTTTTTTTCAAACGCATCCGATTTTTCTCACACACCTTTAAAATTGTGCTTTTATTTACTTGAGATTGAGAAGAAGAAAAAAGAAACTATCAAACTATTTTTGCTAAGTTGACAAAAGAAAAAAAACTACTTTTGCTAAGAAAGGAAATAGGAAACTAACATTTTTTATCAACAAGGAAAACCAGTCCTTACAAAATTTTCTGAGTTTTTCATTTTCGCCTCATTACTTTTCAATTTTTTAAAATCCTTTTTAAGCAAAAAGAAAAAAATAATATCAAAAAGCTAGTTTCGACCTAAGGTGTACCTTCACTATCCTTCCCAACACTTGACACGTATTCATGGACATAACCATAGTTAATTGTTTGTTTCGTATCTCTGAAATCATGATCATGCCCATATACACATGTCAAGTGTTAAGATGGATGGTGAGAATACACATTGAGTTAAAGTGATGAGCAAAAATGCTCTCTTAAATAAGGGCAAGATTTCTTATGCATAATTTGAAAATCACCAATATAAATTATTATTTCAGTTTATAACTCTATTTCACATCTGGATTATGGACCTTTTACTTTGGCCAGTTTAGTTAATAAACAATTGATAATTAGTAAAAATTGTTCTCATGGAGTTAAGGGCAATAATAACAATAAATAAAAATTGTTCCATGAACATAGTTTTTTGACAATTATTTGTTGTTAAATGACCAAACTATAAAGCAGCAGCATCATTATATAAGAGAAAAAAATTTATCTTCATAAGGTTACTATATTTAGAATTTATGCAAACAAAAGATTTCATTCCATTGTCCGTATATGGAGACCAATTATAATCAACAAAGGGATTTCATTCTTATTAACCAATGACAATAAAGACCTAATTCCCTAATTAGAAATCAACATGGTAAACTTCACTCATGTCTGGATAAAACAATCCCCAATGAGACTCAGACCCCTTAGGCTTGAGATCTTCATTGAACAAAGCAAATATGTATGCCTCCAATCCCTTTCCTGGTCTCTTTGGTGTTCCAAATTGCCCATGCTTGATCAAATTGCTGTTATATGTTCTGGCATTATCAATAGTTGCTTGATCATGTCCTTCTCCTTCTGATGGCCACCCTGTTTCAGCCACAACAATCTCAACATTTGGTGCCCCTACCTTCTCAAGTGCCCAATAGAGAGCATCTAGGGAAGCATCAAGCAAATTTGTGTACCCTAGAGCCCCATCCGTTACAATAACCTCTGAGGTACTCATCAATGCATAGTCTAGCCTAATGTCATTCGGGTTGTCGTGGTAGGCGAAATATGGATAGGCATTGTAAAGAAGGGGGTAGCCATTGGCTTGCATATATTGTACCAGAGGAACCATAATTGAGGCTGCATCAGGATGCCATATTCCTGCAGATGGTGGAAATGGTGATGCCAGTACATTTTGGAACACTGCTGTTGATATGGGGATATTGAGATTGGCTGCAATTAGTGCAGTTCTCAGATTTTGCATGGCAGGGAGTATGCTGCTAGCGTTTTGGCTTGGAACCATTTCGTTTCCAACGGATATGCAGCGAAAATTGACAGATGAAGCGAATGGAATGATGTTGGTTTGGAGCCAAGTGGTAGCAAATGCTGGATCATTGGCTAGGGTTGGGACATCTATGTTCAGTGTACCTATGATGACTTGTATTCCTGACCCTTGCAGTGCCTGCAGAACATCTTGTTGTGGATCGAAAATACGAATTCTTTGAATGTTCCTGGATTTACATAGCTGGATTACTTTGTCCGGAGTTGGAAGGTTGTCACCTTGTCTACCATAATTTGCCCCAATGCCCTGAGCTCCTGCATTGTGAGACATCAAATTTAAATTACATCTCCCCATTTTATTCACAAGCAATATGAAAATTTATTTGTACAAAAAAGGCCAAGGACTTACCAGCATAGCTTTGCAACTCAGTCACAAGTAGCATAAAAGCTACTACAGAGTATAAGATTGAATGCTGCATTATGCAGAAAATAGGAGACGATCAACTACAATACTGAAACAAAACTTGAGATACAAACCAGCCTAGGCAGCTACCATTCACAATGTGAAAAACAGATGAAACTTGAGCCTTTTTGTATATGGAACTTTGCAATCTGTCGAAAGAAAATTCAGTTTAGAATTCCAAACTAGGTTTCCATATTAGCAAGTTTAATTCCGTCCCGGCGTGAAGGGATATTCTTTTTTTGTGGTGCAGGTGTTAAGATTGGAGAGTGGAGTTAATTTGTTCTAATCTCATTGTAATAATTGGATTGTCCACATTAATGTTCTCCTTTTCCTCAGGAATTTCACAATTTTGGGTGCTCTCTTTGCTTCCTTTCCATATCAGAATGCTGTTGATGCTTATCCTCTCCACAGAGAAATGTGGGGAGGGTGAGAAGAGCACTGCCCTTAATTTAGATACAGCAAAGATTTGGCTTGCAGGGAATTAAATTAAATTATACAGCTTGGGCTTATATTAATTTATTATATACATGCATGTTGGTAATCTGAGAATGCTGAATGTTGGTAATCTCAATGGATTCAAGAACAACTCATACTCTTCAAAAACCTCAAAAATTGTGGGGCAAAGAGTGTGGCCCTTTGGGCAGAATTTGAAAACTGATGAGATGCCAAATTCATTTTCATTTTGTTCTTATACTCAAAAAACTTAGTTCTTGGATTGGGATATGTAGCAATTCAGTGGCAAATTTAATTAGCCTCAACTTCAAGCCTCAACACTATCATTAGAAGTCTACAGCAGTAAGACACAGAATATTATCCATAAGATACAAAAAAAAGAGGAGGAGGAGGAGAGAATTAGGAGAGAGACAAAAAAAGAACAGATTTTTTTTCTTCTCATTTGAGACCATTTCCAGGGGTAGAAATTGCCAACTCCGGCCAAGAACAGAACTCACCCCCAACAGAGCCAACACCCACATTCACAATCCCACCACCTTCTCCACTCTCAAATTGCCACGTGTTCATCATCCCATGGCCCCCACCATTACCTCCAACACCAGCACCACCATCTCCCACCCCGGGAAAAGGCCACACCGCTCTCCCAAGTCCAAAGCCCATCTCCTCAAACCCATTGGCCAGCCCAAGACCAAACCCCCCTAAGGCCAAAAAACCAGGCCCCTGAGTGTTGAGCAGAGAAGTGAAGCTAGCGCCGCCCCCACCACCGCATCCATTTCCCACATTCCCCTTCATGTCCCCAAACGCGGCGGCGCCACCCGGGTTCATAAAAACTGGGGTGGGGGGAATTGGGTGGTCGGAGAGCGAGGGAGTGGCTGTGGTGGCGATCATGGAGGAGGAGCTGGTGGTGCGGGAGCGCTGTCGCAGCGTGGGCAAGGGAGGTGCTCTTGCTCCGGCGGTGGGGCACCCGGGGTCTGGGCCTTCGCCGGCCTACGGTTCTGGTTGTTCTGCTGATCGCTCGAGTCCGACGGCATTTGGGTCTCAATCAAGCGGCTAAGTTTGGTTTGGTTGTGTGGTTTGATCAAAGGTGTTTGATATTTTTGTTGGAGCAGTGATGTAAGATGATGGTGAAGAAAATGAGAGAATGGGATTTTGGGTTTTTGCGGGGAGGGGGTGAAGGGGTTTTTATGGAGAGAGAAGGAGGAGAGAGAGAGAGAGAGAGAAAGTAGGAGAGTGACATTGGTGCTGGTGTGGCATAGTGAAACAGGGTTTCTGAGGCATATATGAAGCAGAGTGAGCAGGCTTTTACAGTGTGTTCTGTTAAGCACGACATTTCAGTCGGCTCCAGAACAGCCTCTGTTTTTCTCTGTTTTGGGTCGGCTAAAACTACAAGCTACAACCGGGCTCGAACCCTCCAAAAAAAAAAAATTCTGTTTTTTTTTTGGGGCTGAAAATTACGAAGTTAATTTAAATTTCCTAGCTATACCTATGAATCTATGATTTGGGTGGTGGGGATCAGGGTTATATCCATAAGTTTTTTTTTATAGAAATCCGTTATATCCATAAGGTTCTGCAGAAAGTACATTACATATACATACATATATAACATAGTAATCTAACATCTCTCTCACTCTCTCTCTCTCTCTCTCTCTCTCTCTCTCTCTCTCTCTGTTTTAATGTATGTATGTATGCATGTATATTCTATATACAGATAGCGCCTGTGGCCGGAGATTTCAATTCACCTTTTGCATGCATGCCTTCTGAGGCCTAGCTCAGGCCTGAAAGTACTGTGCATGGGGGGACTAATTATTATATAAACAAGGTAGGTTTATTCCAATGATCCCTCCATAATATCGTACGAACATGCTAGATTACAAGATTTATTGCTTTTTGGCTACTAGCTAGCTATTGTCCGGGCTACGTACAGCACCTGCTCTGTAGGGTATATAAAACCCAGAAAAACGAAAGAACCAAAAACCAAAAAACAAAAAACAAAAAAAAGGAGCTTAATTGAATTTGCATGCAATACACCAAGTTGGTTTGCATTTGTGTTTCATGTCAATTAGGGTTCTTGCTCTTCTCCTCTGCAACAAAATTTGATCCATCTTTCTAACATTAGATTGCTAAATAAAGTATTAAAAAAAAGGGGGGGCTACATGTTAAATATAGGAAAAAGTGCTCGACAAAAAATAATGGGAAAAGGGGCTACATGTCTTTCCCAAGATGGTTCAATTCAAACTTTACCTCTCTCTAAAATTGAAACCATAAGCCGCTAACCCTTTTTTTTCTCTTTAGAAAATAAAAGTTAAAATATGATATTTCTAAGTGTAGTGAGCTGAAGACCAGAAGAGTACCAGGATCGAAATCAATAATTAGACGATATAACGATCTTGAGTTATCATATTCTAATATTACTCGTAAGATTATAAACATACTAGTTTCTAAACTCATTAGCCGTATCAAGAATCTCACACTAGAATGAGATATAGATTATATTTTCTACAATAATAATAATCATAAACTAAGATTAGATAAGAAGTGTCTACATTAATGGGGTGAGAAGACAAAAATTGAAGTAAGCTAAGCGGGCAATACCCGTCAAAGTTGAGAGGGATTGATGGGGTGTTGGGATTAGGTGGGTGGGGCAGTACCGACAGAATTATGAATGTCGGACAGCGTGGGAGCAATTATTGGTTCTCTCCTCTGATTTCGGACGCGTCATGTCCGCATCAGATTCCTCCTCCGTACCTCTTCCTCTCACCGCATTTCGCGCTCCACTGTACCCATTACCAAACAACACACACAATTCTCCCCCTATTCCCATTCCGGTTTTTCCTATTCGCACCCAAACACAGCCATGTCTAATCTAAGGCCTATGAGCTATGATATGAATCTCCTACACCCCTCTGTCACAAGACACACAATTCAAAATCATAACCCCCACCTTTTCATAATTTTTATGTACCTAAAAAATAATTAACCACGCACGAACAGATGAATTGGTCAGGCAGGCAAAGGCTTATTATTGTTTGTTATTATCAAGCTTAATATACAAGCCATGCCTTATGATATAAAGCTTAACTAAAGCCATGCATGTTTTGAATGATTAGTTGAAAGCTGAAAGGTAGATTCATGGACTGGCCCTCCTAATTTATGCATCTCAAGCTGCATTGGAGATAAAGGTTAATATAGTTGTCTCTTTTGAAGACTGTTTATTAGGAGCTCATGCACAATTTCAAGCTCAAAATATCGCAAATGTAACGAAAAGAAATAATCGATTACATAACACATAAGATTTAAGAAATTCACTCCAAATTAAATTACATTACTCGACATCCAATAATTAATGACTCACTAAGCACATATCAAAATTACTATTCCCTCACACACTCACAACCAATTTCACTCATCCCAACCCAACACCAAAGAAACTCACTCTTCCATCCTCAAAATTTTTCTCACTTGATATGTAACAACCCTAGAAGCGAACCTTCAAAGCCACTACATATCTCTTCAGCACTCACTTTGATCACACGCCAAGGAGACAAACACCATAATGATATATATTCATAGGCTTTCTTACAAAACCAAAGTTCCACTAGAGCAATTTATCCAAACCGATAAGCAATCCCAAAACATAACTAAATAGAATTCAAACTAAAGGAAATTAAATTCACAAGGGTTGACTGGTCGCTCTTTGGGGCAGACCAGTCGATTTGTACCAAAAGTGAATACCACAATGGTTCGACCGGTTGATTTATAACTGTCACCAACAAGCTACTAATTGGAGCCGCAATTTCCAATAGTAATAACAAACACTTCCTTTAAAAAGGTTGTGCTTAACCAGGATTTACTTGGGTTATCATCTTTAAGGAACAACGTCAAAGGGTGAGGCAAATCGTGTTTGCTTTGTTACATTATCTTTTTACCTTCTTCAATGAGGTTAAAAAAAGACAAAATTGCTTAATGGCAAAATTGACGTATCACATGATGAGAGAGATAGAGTGATAGTTGACAGGACCCGTCCAGAAATTCCTCGGAACCTGGAACGGACCCCGCCTAATTACCGACATCATCCCGATGCCGGGCCCATCTACTAGAAACTGAGACTTTCTACCAAAAATTTGGCAGAGTCTCCCCTGTAAATTGAACATTTCCCAATTCAACCTGCTCAAAATTTACAGTTAAAAACAACCAACTGGCAGCATGCTTTACAGGCAGTACAATAATTTACAAACAAGGCCTCCAGGCCTTACAAAATTTAAACCCTCAGTGGGCGATACAGAGCATAACTACAGAATTCAAAATACAACCGAAATATCGTCAACTGAAAGGAAAAGGTACCAAGAGTCTCTACGAAGACTCGAATTCCAAAATGCACCCGGTCCGGCTCAACTGCAAAACTCAGTCGCTACTGGCTGGGGGCGCAAAACAGAAAGTTGTGAGTGGACAAAAAACCAAGTTTAGTTCAAGTGAAAACAAAATAATGTAACCCCCACATTTTATATGCAAGAAAACCATAAGTATAACAAAACAACATAAACAACACGTGCATACATATTAACACCTTTATACCGGATCTCAAATCCGTAGTCCGTGAATAATGCTTCACGAAGCCCACCACTCAATTTAAGAGTTCCGAGAGGTTAGACTCTCATAAACATACTCAAAAGTACAACCGGCGAGGACGTATCCTTACCGAGAATAGAACCAAAGAACATTCATACAAACATACAATAATATACATACTAAATATATGATGTAATAGAATAATAATAATAATAATAATAATAATAATA